CTATCACACACAGCCACATCAAGCTTGAACGCACAGAGAGAGAGAGAGAGAGAGAGAACAGAGAGCGAGAACAGAGAGAGAGAGAGAAAACAGAGAGAGAGGGAAAAGAGTGAGAGAGAGAGAGAGAGAGAGAGAGAGAGAGAGAGAGAGAGAGAGAGAGAGAGAGAGAGAGAGGAAGCTGACTCAGATGGATGTCCTGTCGGTGGGTGTGCGCCCCCAGCGGCAGTGCAGCGCCGCTGCCGCTCCTTCGCCGGGGTTAAAAAGCGGCGGGCGGCGCACCGGGGCCACAGTGTGGGGGTGTGTTTGAACGAGAGAGACAGAAAAGTTAGCGGAGGATTTTTTTCTGGCTTCTGACCCACAAGCAGCATCCGTTCGAGAAGCATCATGGCCAACAAAGCACAGCAGCCTCCTCACCTACACCTGGCCGAGGTCACCGCGTCCCAGTTCCTCGACATTTGGAAACATTTCGACGCTGACGGTAGGACACTTTTTTTTCTTCTTCTTCCTCCTCCTTTCCTAAAAGTTATTCCAAACTGCGAACTCACGAGAGAATGCTGGATTACAGAGCGTATCACTGCTGTCAAATGCAGCCTATTGAAGGTTATAATCATACAGGGAGATGCATGGAACAGGATTGAAACGATTGTCAGACAGATGGATAGATAGACAGACAGAGCAAAACCGTTATAAAGCCTAGAATAAACAGACTGTAATAAAACAGCAAATGTTTTGTCGTTTTGGAGTATTAAAGCGACTATTTAGGAAAAGAAAAAAAACATCCATAATGTAATATAGCATTCTGAATATTATAGCGTCTATTTTGTCTTTTAATTAGTGATAATATTCTTTTGTCGTCTTAAGCTTCCTGTGTGGTAGAATAATAAAGTAGCCAAACGCGGCATTTTCATGTTTAGCAGTTGTGTGTATGAGCTGATATCAGACTTGATATTCTGGATATATCGAAGCACTGCATCCCTCAAAAAAGTTCGACGTCTTCCAAATTATTCTCTGATGCGGACCACTCCCGACTCCACGTGGTATGAGTTCATTTTATTACATTTGTTTAATGTAACTGCACATGCGGATGCATGATTTCTCATGACAAGCCTTCAAATAAAATATTGAATTGAGTTATTTAAAGACTATACTTAAAATATTCAATGAGTCTTACAAGGCGAGTACAATTCTTTTCTGTTAATTCATCTTTATTTCGCAATCATTTCGTCATTAGGGTCTCTTTGAGGGTCAACCTATACTCACTGACAGTTTGGAATGTTACTTTTAAATGTAAGTAATTGTCTCTGTCTGATGCTCCTCCTGTTGGAATCCGTTTACAATCAAAAACTGGCTTATTCAGTCGTCAGTCTGTCAGGTGGTGATGCTCTTTATGCAGTGGAAGTAGCCCGGTATGAATATGGATTTATGTGATGCAGATGCGATACCTGTCAACGTGAAATTGTCCCATAGGCCTACTAATTTATTCAGCGTCTCCCTCCCCACACACACACACACACACACACACACACACACACACACACACACACACACACTGTTTCTTCCCTCGGTCTCAGTCATGATCTTTTCTTCAATCCTCTGTTTGTCTCCGTACAGATTTGACAGTTCAGTCTTTCTTTCTGGCTCTGCAAATATCTGTGTGTGCATGTGTCTGTGTTGCAGAGTGACAGTATGACTTTTGTTTTTTTCCTAAACAAAGTCATCATTCGTCTTTGCTGTCATGAATGTCTCATAAGTCTGATTATAGAAATCCTTTTCTGTGGATCAAGGGCATTTTGTGAACTGGTGAAACTGTTTTGAGAAAGGAGATCTCTTTTGTGGTTTCCTTTAAAAACTCAGACTGGGACATTCACACAAGCGACCAGTCTGAACCCCGGCTGCAACCGGTCTTATTAAACAGAAAGTCCTCTCTTGGAACATCTCAAGAACTTTGATCGAGTCGTCAAGGCGAGTGTGTCGCACCTATGTGTTTTACACACACGCTCCCGGGATTTCATTGTTAGTGCGATCTGTTTTGACGCCTGCACACATGCTGAAATGCACTCCGCGGGGAAATCAGGGCGGAATGAGGAGTCGGTCTAGGGCTCAGCAGCTGGGCTCCTCCACATGAGCCAATGTGCTGACAAAGTTGACATAAGCATTGTTGTTTTTGCTCTTTTGTCCTCCTTCGAGCCCCAGAATGTCAGTCCTATACCACCCGGGTGCCTCAGTCCCGAGGTGCTTTACATATTGCGCTTTGCAACGAGCCACTTTGCAAATCAAATACAACCAGTGAGCGTCAACAGATTTGGCTACAGCGTTTGATTCCTGCTCTCATTACCGGGAGTGTCTTCTGGCTCGGCAGAAAGAGATGAGAGCTAATTTGCTTGCTCAGATTGAGTAAACATCTCCTGAGTTGCAGATAAAAATACACAGGAGGCGATGCACCCAGAGATGATGAAACCATATATTCCCCTGTTGGCCCAGGATCAAGTCTCATCTGGATTGCGTCTCTCGCAGCTCCTCCGCTCTGCGTCCCTCTCATCTCTCTGCTGTCTCAGTCAGGCCTCCTCAATTCAATCACTTCAAAGCTGAAAGAGGAAACAACTGCAGTTCCTTGCTGCTAATTATAGAGCATTTGCTGTCAATGATTTTTTTTATCAACCTGCATATGGAAATTTGGCAGCATCGAGTAAAATCCACTTCCTGAATTGACCCAGCCGTGGTCTCAACACAAAATATTTGAATAGACCGGGATGCACACTCCTTTGAAAGGCAAATGCACTTTATATAGGCTTTAAATATGCACTTAGTTGGCACAGTTGCCCACTTTGAGAGTTTTCCTGTGTTGGGGTTGAATTTTAGAATCAGAACCGGAGGACTGAAGCGCCTTTACCGGCGTCTCCTGGGACCATAATGAAGCAGCATCCAAAAGAGTGTGTATTTGGTCCAAAAAGTGTTTTTTGAACCTTTTATCTTGCTCGTTGGTGCGAGCTTTAAGGGCTTGTGCAGAGGGACCAAAGTGTATGAGAGCAAGTCGGTGGGAGCGCCCTCATTACGACATATAAAACGAGTTATTCAACATTTAAGTTGAGTGATGGGGAAGTGCGTTGAAGTCAGCCATGAAATGTATCTGCTGGAAGTGATGCTTTTTTTGTGCTTGGGACAGTTTACTGCAACATTTCATAGAAAAGAACCAAAGGGTACCTCAAGCACATTGGTGTGTCTTAGAGGCTGAATGAGAAAGTAAGCACTTATCCTACTGATATGAAAAAGCACAGTACAAACAGATGCTCCCTTAACGCACAAAAATATTGGGATGTATGGCTCTGTGGCTGCATTTGTTGAAGATGTGACGGCGCTCTGGCATAATCTGTTCATAAATCTATTTTTATTGTCATTTTATGCCGTTTGCCTTGTAGTTAATCACATCTTACTCTGTTTAATTATCAAGCAGGCCATTCCTCTCCAGAGCGCTAAATGTCAATAAGACCCACAGGAGGGAGGCTCGATAGCAGCGAGGCATTTTACCGTCCCACTTATTGAAACAGCAGAGCCTGTATTCATGAGTTTTGATAACATCGCTGAGGAACGCCTCCAACCCCCCCCCACACACACACACACACATTTCCATGGATAGAACAAAGAGGCTAAGATGCTGGTTGGATGGGGAGAGGGAGCTAAAAAGAAGATGACAGAGAGTTAGAGGGAGAGGAGAGGAAGTGGATGGCATAATAATCTTTGTTCGCGTTTAATGAGGCAGCTCTGCCTTCCAGGGTTTTATTGAAGCAGCTAGTCACATCGTTTGGAGCCATCTGTCCAGCCATTCGGCGTGCTTGTTGATGGGATGTTGGCACGGGCTCACAGACTACCTGGTTGAAGCGGGCACACTCATTTGTCCTCTGAATAGGTTCTGTCAGGGCAGCAGAGCACCGGGAGTAAGCATGAAATGAGATAATCAACTTTGTTTTCCCCTAGCTAAATCTGTCATGACGGAATCCAACAAAAAGGTGATGGACGTCTCCGTAGGGTGAACCCCAAATCGACAAAAGTGACACTTTGTGTGTCAAATTGATTGACAGCATTCAGTGAAACAGGGTTGAAACATTTTAAAACTTCAGTTCCTTGTGGCAAAATATCATCGCTTTCACAAGTCTAGATGAAGAAAAAAAAAAGAACTGGGTAGAAAGTACACGGTTATCTATATTGATTCGTCCCATTTGCCGAACTCCCCGCTGACAGCGGTATTGATCTCCGTGGAATAAAAGAAGCTGCCCGTGGATCATCACCTTCAAAAATCAAGAAAAGCAGCTTTCCATATATAGCCTCTTCTCGCGTACAACACAGTCTCTGAGGAGTGATCAGTTTGCGTTGTGTCAGTCAATAGTCTAATCTATTGAGCCAGAGGGGGGAAGGAAGAGAGTCACTGGTAAAGGCTCATGTTTGGATCAATACCGAGCCATGCTGGGATCTGTTTGACACTGTGACCACATCTGTGCAGATGTTTTTTTTTTGTTTTTTTTGCATGTCAGCGATACTGAAATGCGCCCCTTTGTGGTATGTTGCGATGACATAGGTGTATGGTTCTGTATGTCTCCCAGGTAATGGCTACATCGAGGGGAAGGAGCTGGAGAGCTTCTTCAGGGAGTTGGAGATGGCCCGGAGAGGAGCAGGGGTGGTGAGTTCAAGGAGTAGAGATTAATTAAACACATGCATGCATACTGGCCACTCAGGTTTCACTTGTACTGAGTGCAAATGTTTTCCAGGACCCTTCAAACCCCACATTCAGAGAAAAGATGAAGGAGTTCATGCAGAAGTTCGACAAGAACAAAGACGGACGAATTGAGATGTCAGAGGTAAGGCCTGGAAGGTGCTTTCTTTTTTTATGTTTTGACATTTTGGGAAAAATGTCCTTTTTGCAGAGAATTTTATTTTTTTGTCAGTGTCTCATAGTACATTATTAGAACAGACGAAAGTACTTATTATTGATGTGAATTAGATTTGATGCCACTTCCATTTGTGTAGCCAGCAGCCGGCTAGCTTAGCTTAGCATAGGTATTGAAAACAGGGGAAAACTGCTTTCTGTCTGCTTTCTATGGAGGGAGAGGAAAAGCTGGAAAAAGAAAATGCTCAGATAATTCACAGAGCCGGAGCAATACAGTGCAAGGCTTGATCAATACCCCGATCGATTGCATAAATACAGTCTTTATGATAGTCTCAACGGAGCGTCAGTTTGGCATATTGCTTTCCTTCGATTTTACCATTTTCGGATCGTGATTTGAAAGAGATGCAAGAAGAAGGCCCTTCTGCAATATCAATAATCCACCGGCAGCATGGAAAATCTGAGAATGAGTTTAAGGTTCAGTCGTTGGGGTAAAGAGGCAAAGGCTTTGTCTGAACCCAAAACTTGATTCCTAAATAAATTCTTACTTAGGCACAGCCTGGCTTCTCTATTATTTATGTCCAAGTTGGCCATTTGAGGCTTTGCAGACAAAAAGCTCCCCGGTCTCCGTCTCTTCTCTCTCAGCACATCAACCCCACCATCTTGTGTTCTCACCACTCCCATTTTCCTGTCATTTCTCTCTCTAGCTGGCCCAGATTCTCCCAACAGAAGAGAACTTCCTGCTCTGCTTCAGAGAGTTTGTCAGCTCCAGTGCTGAGTTTATGGCGGTAAGTGAGTGTCTCTGAGTCTGTGTGAACGGGCCGGTATATATTTTTTTGTTCCCTCTTCCCTCTCATTTGAACGGTTCTTTGCAATGCTTTTTTTACAAAGGCTTTTTGTTCACTGAGAAATGCCATTAGTCAGGACACGCTTACTTTAACCAACTATACATTATAGACCAGAGTCAGTCAGCCATGGAGGGGAGACAGCCTGCATGTTCTCACTCCTGCCTACCAGCTAATTTCACGGATTAATTCCCCGTGTATGGTTGAAGGTGTACTAATTAGTGAAATAAACCGGTGTAGTCTGGAAAGCAAACCGCAGACTTTCTGCCATTGCACATGGTTGCCCGTTTCTGCTGTTGAGATTTAGCAGTTGAATCACAAATCGAGCAACTGCACCTGACGGTCCATCATCATGAACATTAATTTAATGTGAACCGTTGGCTTTGGTGTTCTATGCACGGAAACTGAACAGTGTTAATTACTTTGGCTGTATTTGTTTCTCCAAAGATTCATGTGAATGTCCCTGCTGGTGTATGCAGAGGAGCTTTGGGTTGTTATGGGTAGCCGTAGAGGTTTTGCAGAGGAGCTGATGTTCACAACTCCCACATCTCAATGTGCAGTGTGAACATCAATCATGATTGATTCAATTCATGTCAGGAGAAACAGAAAGGAACCAAAAACATGTCAACTTCAAGGCTTAAATCTGTAAATGTGGAAGATAAACAGCTGGGAATGTTTCTGAATGACCGCGAGGCATATTTGCCTGGAGATCAAGGCCTAAAATCAACACTGGTGATCACCAATCGCTTTTGAATGCCCATTCGGGGCACGGCCGTTCAGATTGCTTGGCCCCCAGAAGGGCTGCTTTCTGCAATCTCAAGAACCGCTCATTGCTCGTTGACTCCACGGAACTGAAGAAGAGTTCTGTTGTAATATTTGTATATCCAACATCCGGTAGCAAAAGTGAACTGTAGTCAATGAGTTGCGGACGACATGCCTGACTCAGTCCATAGAGCCCTGAAGCCACGCCCCTGCTGCTGCAAATAGCACTGTTTATTTGTTTATTCAAAACATAATAGTTAATATTGAATGTTTCCCGTGTCCAAATTACACAAAATTTGGCACCAGCCACCGGTCACGTGTGCAGTGGATCAGATGAGCGGTTCTTAAGATATGCACATAAACACATATGGACAGAAATTCCTTGCTTTTATAGTTGAGATGTGATACTAGATACTGTGTGTACTTTGTAACATAGGAAACACTAGATACGAGATACTTAATAACATAGGAAACACTAGATACTAGATACTTAGTAAGATAGAAAACACTAGATACTTAATAACATAGGAAACACTAGATACTAGATACTTAGTAAAATAGAAAACACTAGATACTAGATACTTAAGAACATAGGAAACACTAGATACTAGATACTTAGTAACATAGAAAACACTAGATACTAGATACTTAATAGCATAGGAAACACTAGATACT